CTCTCTCTCTCTCTCTCTCTCTCTCTCTCTCTCTCTCTCTCTCTCTCTCTCTCTCTCTCTCTCTCTCTCTCTCTCTCTCTCTCTCTCTCGTCCAGGGCTTTCGAGTGCATACACATGAGACCAGACTGGGACATCCCTATCGGGGTCATGAGACGGTCGCTATCCCCTAGTTCCTCCCCTGGTCCCCTGTGGACCATGCAGGAGTAGTTTCCGCTGTGGAGGGTTGGGAGGCCTGTTTGCTCTCCGCTTTTGATCCAGGCAAAATCACGATTGCGTCAGGTTCTGAATTGTAGTTGTCCAGACTGAGTATGAAACGCCACCAACTCTGTGTTCCAAACAGGTTACCCCAAGCGAAGTTCGTGCTAAGGAAGCACGGAATTGTTTCGCATTTTCCAGACCAGATTCGCACTTTCTTAACCAGGAACATAATAGCACCAGCGGGGCCTGCCAGTCCTTAGCTCGTTCATCCAAATTCAGGCAACACTCTTTTTCTGAAGAACCATTTCCGCGGCCAGCTTTCCTTCTCCTTGGCATTGGCATCGTGATACGACGACTGTTCTAGCCGGTGAAGGTCCAGCTTGACGTGCTTGAGTCGTCCCTTAATCTCTTGTTTCCATTCGTCGAATCTGTACTGCAGTTTCCGCAGCTCGCTGTCTGCATCAAGGCTGGCAAGCTCAGATCGGCTGTCGACATCAGTTAGCAGCTGAATGTCCTGCTCCATAGCTCGCAAAGAAGAGAGCATCTGATCACGCAGATCTGCGATGATCGCCATGCTTGCCTCAGTATGTGGTGAATGTGGGTGCTGGCATTTCCCCTGATGTGACTGCTCCAAACCGGCCTTGGTGGTGGTTCTCATGCCCTGCTCTCCGTCTCCGGCACTTGAACAGTTCGTATTCCGTTCCTCGCAACGTGGCTTTGTGGCGCGGAACTCTCCTGCCCCCGTAGCTATCTCCGAAGGGCGGGATGGTTCTCCCGCAGCTTCTGCGGTCGTCACAAAGTCTGTACGGAGTGGTAGTAGTTGTCCTGCGGCTGTGCTTGCGCATGCTGCACAAGTCCTCCCGGACACATTGCGGCAATTCTCGTCAGCCATCCTATTGGGACTTCTAACCGACTTCACGGTGGGTACCCAAAGAGGGAACTCGTCCATGTTCCCTTCCTCATCGTCATAGTCCTCCTCGGAATCCTTTGCTTGCTTCCCCTCTTCCTCCTCTTCTGCTCCAGAATCTCGCTTCGCCTTCTCGCGTCCCCACTCCTCATCTTTCCCCTCCTGTTCACGAGGCGTTGTAACGATCTGCGGCAGGAGGCGGAAAGATGCACGCTTTGTGTGATGATGATGAACGGAGGAGAAGGAACGCAAATGATCTCTCCGTAGAAGCTCGTGCACTATCAGCCTCAACGAGCGTATTTTGTACTCAAAAGTCTCTTCCAAATTCCGGAGTTTTTCTTCACACTCCTCCCATTTCACTCTCTGCTCGAACAGCCTTCTCTTCAGAATGGCATTCCGTACCACCTGCTTCGCCAATAGGCTATCGAGCTCCTCTATCCTGGCCTTCATTTCCACAGCCACTGACAGGGGAACTACCTCTAAGGACCCCTCCGCTTGTTCCTGATCATCTTCCTCCGGTGCTGATGACGAGGGCCTCACTGCAATGTTCTCATCGATCATGGCAGGCTCTCGTGTGGATGCTGCCAAAGCATTCATGTCGACGTCTGCTGCAGCTGTGGCATTCATCAAGTCGTCATCTTTTTCATCTTCCTTTGCTGCCTCAGTTTGCTCGGTATATTCTTCGTGCTTGGTTTCTAGCCTAGCCCTTTGTTCAAGAAGGGCGGCTTGCAGCCGTAGTTCAAGTTCTTTCTTGAGTCGCTGTTCTCGCAGATGTCTGAGCTTCCTCTTGGCCAGCCATCGCCTCGTGTACGACTGTAGCGTAACGGTTGCTTTCCTCAGGTCAAGGTACCTTCTGCGGACTCTTCGTCCACGGAAAACCTTTTGCACGGCAACGATTCCTTGAACAGTCCGTGTGCGAATGTCTTCGATCACCCCGAGCTGTCCCGCACGGAAGAAGAGTTTCGTCTGACCGATCTGGAACTGCTCTCGAGGGACATTCAGCAGCTGGATGATTTGCATGCAGACTCTCAAAGAGTCCATCTTTGACTGAGGATTTGAGAGCTTTAGGGGTGCTGGCCTCTCCAGGGACACAAGGAATCCATACCTATTTGCAAAAAGCTCGTGGGAGTGGCGGGTGGGGTAACCCCTGCACGTGATACGGACGACTTCGAAGACCCCACAACAACGCAGCTGATGAAGCATCAACTCTGACTCGAACCGATCGGGCAATTGCATATCATTCGGCTTTATACACCTGATGAATTGGGACTCCGTCTTTCCTAATTGGGCGATAAGTTCACCTAGCTGCCACTTGAACTTGTTAGCAACACTTTCTTTCTGCACCCCGCTCATTCTCCTTGCTAATAGTGTGTGTGCCGCCCGTGGCGTGGGTGGTGCCGTCCCCTGAGCTTGCTCGCGCGCTTTGTCATACATCTGACCACCGTGTACCTGCCCCTGTACCTGCAACAACCCCGATTGCCAGGTCATGGCCATTGGCTCCCTTAAGCTTGCGACAAAGCTTTGTAGGAGTGCAGCGTCAGATCCAGCCAATAGATCAATCAACTCGTTGTGTATAAGATCACGATTCTTTTCCAAGAACCCAGCTGTGTCGTATAAAACCTCTCCTGCGTAATGGGCAATGCGAAAACAACCTGCATTTTCAACTTTAAGGCAAGGGTTCGAACCCAAGTGCTCTCGCAGTTTTTCAGTCAGCGTCTCATCGGTTCCCTTGGGAAAGTTGGTCTCCTCATCCAGAAGGGATAAGACACCAAGAGGCCTCTTTTCGATCAGCGTAAGGCACTCCTGATTGTCTCTGAACTCGACGTGTGTCCAGTCAATCTTCTCGCGCACGTATTCCTCCTGTTCAAGCTTAAGAAGGTGGGTGTTGAAGTGCTGCTGCAGTCGCTCATTCGCATAGTTGATGCACAATTGCTCAAAGTTGTTCCGTTCGAAACACTCGAACCCGTATATGTCAAGAATGCTGATGAAAGTCTTGGGCTTGGCCTTATCCACTTCCAAGGACTGGTTTATCCGTTCATTTATCCAGTAAAACAGTTGTGCATACAGCAGTTTGGCCAAGGCGTTCCTTGCATCGATGGCTTGGTCTTTTCTGAGCCTCTGTGAGATCTTCTCAGTGCCTGCGTAGATTGTGTGTGTGCAAATGGCCTTCTCCAATTCATCACTCCCACACCTCAGAAGACTCGACACTGCATGGAAGGCTTCGTCTCGGACTGCAGTCACATGCTCTTCGTCATCAACGGTCGCGAATTCGACATTTCCAAGCCACAAAACCGCTGCCAGCACCTCGAACACATTACGCCGTTCTTGTCCGTCAATATGCATGCTCTCCATAGCTTCCTGCAGAATCCTGAAATCACTGGCATCATCAACACCGTCGATCTGAAGGCAGCTCGCGTTTCGACTGAGGTAGGAAAAGAAGTGTGCTGGGCGTAGCTTCAACTCCTTTGCCAAAATGGTGTCGGAGATCGACGTGCCTGCAGCACACAGCTGGTAGAATATGTGAAAAGATCTTTCACCCGGTGCCCTAGTGATGATTCGACACTTCTCCAGCAGGTACGTTTTGATGGTTGCCCCACAAATCTTGCCCCATCTATCGAAATAAATCTCGATCAGCTTTCCAAACCGGCTCGAGTTGTTGTTGCGTAGGGTTTTCGCGTTCCCAAAGGCTTCTAAGATCGGATTCGTCTGGAGGATCTTCTTCTCCACACCTTTCTCTCCTCCAAGCGCTGCAAGGTACCTCATTGCTATCTTCGTGGTTTCCGTCTTGCCAGCCCCACTCTCCCCACTTATGATTATGGACTGGTTCGTGCCATTCTTTCTCATTATGGCATAGGCACGCTCGGCACATGCAAACACATGAGGAGGCAGGCCTGTACATAGACCTTTGTCGCGATACGCTTTGACAAAGTCCTCGCAGTAGATTGGCACATTCTTGAAGGGATTGATGGCAATCAACACAGGTCCGGCCCTTGTATAGATCAGATCCCTTTGATATCGAACTTTCAGATTATGCAGAATTGACTGTTCATCCAGCGAGGTGAGCTGAATAAGGTCATCCACTCCTTGGAAAACGTCGTCGTTCTGGCGATCAGAAGGAAGTATGGGTGTTGTCCTCTGTGAGTGCATGACGGCCTCCATCAGAGAAGGGACGAAAGTTCATTATCAGCAGAAAGAATGACTACCAGGACAATCCATCAGTGCATCATCTCCATCACTCGCATCGCAAACGATGTCATTGTTGTTCCGCTGAGGATCGCAGCATTGACAAGGAATAACGGTCGAGTCATCACTGGTGAGGTATAGCTCCATGAGAGGAGGAAGTCTCATCCTCACGACAGCGACGGCAATTTATCAATCCAGTCCGTGCGAATGTACATCCACGTAAATTCGGTCCAGAATGTGGCCACCGATTATGTCAATGTTCAACCCCCCCGACGGCCCACCCTGCGTGATGATTACGATTGCAATTTGCGAGCTCGACAAAGCAGCTCCCTGATGATGACGAGGAGGTCCACGACCTTGGAAACGGCTGCCTACGAGGGTGACAGGAATTAACGAGAGACACACACACACACACACACACACACACAGAGAGAGAGAGAGAGAGAGAGAGAGAGAGAGAGAGA